GATGTAGTGAGGGGGGGAAAAAGCCGCTAAAATCAATTTATACCTTTGTCATTTAATAGACTTTTCACGTTTATTTTTGTGGTATTTTAGCAGAGTACCTATTTTATTCACTGGTTTCCTCTCAAGCACAGCCAAGTTACCAATTTTACAAAGGCTGCAGCCTTTTGCATCCCTGTCTGTAAAGAGAAATTACATATGGTGACTCTTCTGCTTCACACATTTTAACTAGATTTCTATTATTTAGACAAATTAACTGCAGAATGCAGGAGGTACTATCAGCAAAATAATCTCTTGGGTCTCTTTCAGAGACACTAAATAAAAAGCTTCTGCCCATCAGTGCCAGAATGAATTCCTTCTGCGTAACTGCTAGAAATACTGCCTCTCCTTTAGTGAAACTGTGCCCAGCGTACTTTTCCTGGTAAAGGTGAGGTGCGAGAGGTGGTGGTTCATGTTTTGCAAGTCAGAGGTCACCTCAGGAAGGCAGAGCCTCAGAGAAATTCTGGCATCATTCTGCCCTGGGTCTGAGTCTGTGTGACATGCTGGGAAACAATTCCCACCCACCCCACCCCGTCCTATCCCTGCCTTTTTAATTACTCTCCGTCATGAGAAATTTTTGTCCATTTATGGGAGTGAAACACCTTTAACTTTGAACCTTGAGCTGGCTGGTACAGAACATGCCGTGATGTGAGAACAGGAGTATTGCTTCACGTGAACCGGTGCAGAGACAGATGACACTGTATTGAACAGTTTGGGCTGTTCAATATGGTATGGTTCGGTATGGTATCTATAGTCATTGACATTTGGGAACAGAAATAGCATGTTGGCACAGTTCCTTTAAGTCATTTTCTGAAGTTTTTGCATGAGGTACTGGAAAATTCAACCACTGACCTATACCCTAGAAAAAGCAGAGGTGGTTGGGTTGGTTTTATGCTAATTTTATTTTATGGCTTCTCCTTTAAATAGTTGAAATGTAGGGTCTTAAAAGAGAACAGAAATATGAAAGAGAAATATAGGAAAACCAATAACATTTGAGATAAAACAGTTGTGACAAGAATGAATAAACTGTGCGTGAAACCGTGTAGTGGACAAAAACATGTGTCAGTGATGCTGCAGCTGTTCTGGACTAGGGCAGCTCCCATAGCAGCAAATCACAAGACTCCAGTTCGTATACAGATCAGTTAATACTGAAAATACTTACTCAAAACATGATCAAGAAAGCAGCGTGCTTATTTCTTAGTGACATACAGTCTTTTTTTGCAGAGATTAGCCTGAACTATGTAGTGGTTATTCTGCTCTTCGGGTACAGGAAAAACTGAACATCTCCAGGGACAGGGCAGAGGCAAAGATGTTTTCAGACTATTTGCAAGTGTTACTTTGCAGATATACCCACATTATTCAAGATGAATATTTTTTGTGTGTGTGGTAGAAGCTGTGCCGGATGAAGGGTGTAGTATAAAAGCTAAATCCCTAGCTCAGGAAGCAAACAAGCCATGGTGATTGTTAGAAGTCGCTGTGCCCACAGGGCATCTATGCATTGCAGAAAACATTCACTTAATGGCAAAGGCTAGAAGGAGAACCCTGTAATTTGCTATATCCTGTCTGTTCTCTGTTTGACTGCCAGCCCTCTGTCTTTTTATTGCCCAAATAAGCAAGCTGTTTCTGCCTGCTTCTGCTATCTCACTACCTTCATCTCAAATGCATGAGGACTGTCTAAGGGATATCTTGTACACCATTAATGTTAGAACACTTGGACAGGGAACAAATTAACAACCCTTAGAGAGGCTGACAGGCAGAGACCAGCAGCAAATAAAAACTACTGTATTTTCCTAAGAAACTCACCTCTGTTTAGTCCTGATAGGAAAACACATTTCCTTAAACTGCCTCACCTCATTTCTCTTTTCAGTGTCCTGTTTCCTCCCTTTTTTCTTTTCAGCCTCATTTTTTGTCTTTTTACATTTTTATCTTTGTTTCCTTCCTTTTTAGCTTTGTGTCAGCTGTGTTTCTTATTTCCTCTTCATCTTCCTTCTGCTTAACCCCTTTCTCTGATGAATTATTTGCAGAGTCTGGGTAGGGAGTCCTGTGATCAAAGCACTGGGATTTTCTGGTGGGTACTGGATAATCACAGTCAGGGCTGTAAAACAATTATAGAGCTCCAAACAGGAACACGGACATGCACATACAGTAATTGCCAGGCTTACTTTACAGCTGAGAAAAAGATGCATTGCTTTAGGGAGAAAGGAGGAAAGGAGGATATACACAGTTTTCTTTTGTCTGGCCTTAGGTGACGTACATTTGAGAAGCAGAAATGTTATTTTTAGATGTGTTATTTGTATTACAGTACTGCTTAAAGGACCCAGTAGGGATGGGGCTCCTTTTTGCAAACAATGTACAAGGATAAAAGATGGCCTCTGCACTGAAAAGTCATTATGGAAAGGTAAATAAGACAAGAATGAGTACAACAAATACTCCCAAGGACTGGTTTGGGGTGGACAATGGAAACTGTAATGAGAACATGTTTATACACAAGCCCAGATGAGTATCAGAAGACCCTCCTGGCCTCCTGCCCAGCTGCCATCTCTTGGCAGTTTCCTGTAGGCAGTACAGAAGAAGTGAGTCATAAACATTTAGTTGTTCTTCAGGAACTTTCTTTTTTCTTAAGAAATAAAATTGCTTGCTTATAATGTGTATTGGTACTCTGTATATAGTATGGCATAGATTTTCCTGAGGAGCCAAAGATTCTGGGAGGAAAAAACTTTTTAATTGTGTGTACATTTGTTTGTGGGATAGTCAGAAATGGTGAAATTAATCTGGAGCACACTGACTTCTAGACACTTAAACCATTAGCCTCTGAACTAATTCCTGAAGCGTGCTTTCTTCTTCTCTTAATTATGGGTACTGACACAGAGAACAAATTATAAGTATTTTACAGTTTGCCATTTATGGATTTCTTTTTATATATATGATTTGTATTTGATGCTTTAAATTTAATTTTTAGAAAATCATTTGCATGATTCAGAGGAACCCAAAGATCTTATCCTCCTGTGGAGTTCACCTTCACCAGATTTTCGATTTACATCCACAATTAAATGCCCTGTCCAGGAGTCTGTGGGTATTGAGTAGTTAACGTGCTTTGCAAAATGCCACCTGTAGGAGCTAACGTGGATTTATGAAGCTGGCAATTAGTTTTCCTTTTATTCAATACCACCTATGTGTGCTAGTAATTTGGTTTTTAGCTCTGGAGAAGGACATTCAAAATACGTATATGATGTAGATAAACGTATTCAGGCAACTTCCAAAGACCAAATGAAATTTAATACATAATAGATAAATACAAAAAAAACCCCACAAATAATGCCTATATACTATTATAGAGAAAACCCTAGACTATTTGTCATATTTTTTCTAGTTTGTGCAAAATACAATAATAAAAGAATAACAGATTTCCATGCATGCAAAATGTAGCTCCTATGCATGACTGCTTTTTGGCCTTGGGCAAGAGGGGAAGTGGTATCTTTCAAGAATGCCACAACATTGGGCTTGTCTTTCTGGTAGGTAATGGGATAAGGTAATGGGTCCTTGGCCAGTCGGGTGGGCAAACCCCCGGGAAGGCTGATCTAAGAGCAGCGAGACTCGGCAGAGCTTAGGGAGGGAGAATACTGATGTGAGAGAGGGAAAGAAGGGAATTTACTTGAAAGAAATGAGCAAGCCAGAACTTGAACATTGAGCAAAGAGGAACTGGACCCACAAGGTAAACTTCAAGAGGAGCAGCCAGGAGGTAGAAAAACATATGTGAATGTCCAAGTCTGAAACAAGAAACCTCCCAAACCATCCTTGTTGTCTGTGTTCCAACATGAAGGGGGTGGCAAGCTCCCACACCTGCAGCGTAGCGGCCTCGTAAGTACTGCCTGCTGTGCAAGGGGCCCTGCCCACCAAGTGCCCTTGTGTCCATGCAAACCAGGTAGTGCCAGTCTAAACTTCCATATCTCCTCCTGATCTGGTCCCAGGTTAATAATTGTTTCCTCCTGTTTGAGATTTTAGAGTGCCCTTCTATACTGCCATCTTCTTCCTCAATCATTTGTAAGAGTAAATAATGAGCAACCTAAGTAACTAGAGCAATAAAAGTGATGTATGAGTTTGGCAGTGGGTTTTGCCATACCTCAAGAAACTCAACCCAGACATACAACAACGTGTTTACATTACGGCAGTGGAAAAAGTGCTGAAGAGTTGACTGTAATTCTAACAACAGTTTTCTTTTGGACAGGAGTACAGATCAAATTTCATGTTACACTAGCTCCTCATACTCTGCGAGGCTTACTGTGACTGCGGATTTAGGGCATCTGCAGCAATTGATAGTAGTTTGAAAGTATCTTAAAGTGATTTCTTACAGAAATTAAAAGTCTAAACAGGTTTCTGTAGTTTCCAAAATTATATATATAAGTTTGGGGCTAACTTTGTTTTCAAATTTCACTGCAGAAGTAAAACTTTAGCAGGTCACCCCCAGATTTTCTCTTCTTTGAAGGCACAGGTCCTTAACAGTGCTTAGATGTTGACAGATGCCCTATGACAGTCCTCACGCCATCAGTGACATCCCCAACCCCCTCACCCCAAGGGTCCTGCGGGTGCTGAAGGTTGTAACTGTGTGAAAGCTGCCTCAGGACCCCAGATAACCTGCAGGGAATTCGCTTGACTGGTCTTGAGGATGGTTTGTAGCTTTGATGTGCTCTTGGCTGTCTTGGTACTACTGTCTCCTACCTCCTCTGAACACTCGTCACCCAGAACTAACCTGTACAAAAGGCTCGTATTTGTATGTTTGGTTTGTATTGGAGCCTGATAATGCTCATCTCCCACAGCTCAGGTGACAGCTGTGCAGGAGTTCTCCAGCATCACTAAGGGTGTAAAGGCCAATTTTGGGGCTGGATTTGCAATTTCAAGTGAGGATTCAGTGCCTGGGTGCTCTAGAGGAGAGAAGCATGAATTTGTGGGCAGAGCAGTTGCTTGGAGGCTTGCACCCTTTTTCCAGGGTGGATATTTTAGGCTGTTTTTCTTTCTAAAGGATTTCCACAAATCAACCTCTCCAGGCACTCAGGCTGCCCTCAAACACCACTCAGCGGTACAGACTCCACTGGGTGTTCTGAGTTCTGACGAGAATGGTACCATGCTCAGCTTTATGACTGAAACCGGAGAACTGGTTTTGCTTAAAGATTAAAAAATACATTGCTGCAGTGCCACAATTGACGTGCAATAAATAAGGACCAGCATTTTACATTGTGAGAACACCGCAGCTATCTGGGAGACTGGGCGGTTTCTCTTGCAGTTACACTCCTCCCTGCTTTCCTGATGGGACCTTAAGTTCCTTACACTCCTCTTGCTGTGTTGAGAGCAGAGCAGTGGGTGGCAGCACACAGGAGGCTGTCGGTCGGGAATGGGACATAACGCTTGTGATTCTCACTCCGAAGTTGGATTAGAAAGTAGGGGAGGAGAAAGGGAAGTGCTGGCAGGAGAGCGGTTGTGAAGAGGTTAAGCTTCTGCCTTTCTAGGGTTTGCTTTCTGATGTATATAGAGTCTTGTGGAGTTTTAGGAGTTGTAGCTCTGGTCTGTTTACTGAAGGCTGTTTCTTTTTCCTTTTTTTTTTTTTTTTTTTTAAAACAACTTGTCTAACTTGTCTAATTGCTGCAAGTTTCAAGCTGGAGCTTCCAATTACTGTAAGCTGCGCGTTAATAAAACTGAACTTGCTGTTTAAAAAGAGCCAAGGGGACTTTTCTTGTGTGGAACACCAGGCGGTGGTTCAGCAAAGACAAAATCCCTGAAACTTTTAATTTAGTGGGTTAATTAATATCCATGCCATTAATTGATTTTGGCTTTTTTAATAGTTTAAAAAAAAAACACAAACCCTGAGATATGTATCTAGAAACACTAGAGAGGACACAGTAGAGCCTCAGAGCTGTGTCTTGTCACAAATTGTCTTGACATCTTTTTTCTTCCTAGGAGAAGCTCTAATGAAAGACAGTTTGCCTTTTCTCTTTTATCCAAAAATTCAAGCTCTTTTAGTGGAAGCAGATAAGAGAGACTCCAGTAAGGCAAACCCTACATCAAGCAGTATCACGTACTAGTGAGACCGCAACAGCTTCTTCCACTTCTGCCAGAAAGATGTGAGAAGGAGGAGAGGGGTACGATTTAGATGTATGTTTAGTAAGGTTCTTAATCAATCTAGCAAAAGTGCTGCCCGTTTCCCAACTCTGTCAGCATAAGGGTAAGTGTGATGTGGTGCTGGTTTTCGTTCTTTCTCTCCAAACAACAGTGGAGATGGGTTCTCTAGTTTTAGCTATAGAGTATTCCCAAACAATAGCTATTTTGAAGATGGTTTCTCTGGATTATTTTCTAAAAGTGCCCTGTGTAACTCTTTAAGTTAAGTGTTCCCTGCAGTTAATTCATTGGAGACAATGTGTAAACTACCAGAATTTGCTGGTGCCTAAAGACATATCTAGAAACAATGACACAAAACGGAACACACACACCATGGGGGGAGCTTCAGCTTTTTGAAGAAGTGTGACTCGAGTCTTCATGCCAATTCTTTGTTTGCTTCTAAATGAACCTCTGAATAAAATTTGTCAATGCTACATGGAAAAAAAAAAAAAAGAGAAGCAAAGAGCATCTCTGTGTGATCCCATTAACTGGTATTTTTTGGAAAGTGCCATTCGTTGGGAGATAAAAATCAGGATTCCCCAGGCAGACGAATGTCACGTGTTGGAAGCACAGCACACAGATTATTCTCCTTCTTATCCCACCTTGTATTTTGAAAGCCCAGCACATGCGTAACACCTCGCAGGAGTTCTGAGCAATTTGGGTGATTTTGCCTGTAAGGTTCATCAATTTTTGTTTAACAGGAAGCCAAGCCATTACCAGACCACTCAACCACTAATATTGTACTTTCTCACTCACAGAATGTGAACGGTATCAAGTACCACGCCAAGAACGGCCACAGAACACAAATCCGCGTACGCAAACCATTCAAATGTCGCTGTGGAAAGAGTTACAAGACAGCTCAGGGCCTGCGGCACCACACAATCAATTTCCACCCCCCCGTGTCTGCTGAGATTATCAGGAAGATGCAGCAATAACATGCTGGTCACAAATGTGCCAAGAAATCCTCACCAGCAGTTGCTGATTTTGAGAACAGCCACCTTTTTCAGGGGAAGCATTCAGCAACCCTTTAAAAAAATTAAATGCATGCTTTAAGATTTTCTGTAATTTTGGAATGATGTCTCTTTGTAGGGTTAATGATTTTGTACATTTGCACATGTAATCATCATACCCATTTTCATTTCTTTGAGATAAGGTGCTATAAAAGCTATAGGTTCTTCAGAACATTTTTTCTCCGAAACAGAAAAAAAATGGGGGGGGGGGGGGGGGGGGGTGGGGGGGGGTGGGGGGCGTTGCATATTTAGTTGTACTGAAGTGTTGAACAGGAGTGAGAGGAGGAGAGCTTGGCACTGACATCCCTTGAAGATTGTAATGTGATGACGACTTTTGATGCATCTGTCAATGTGTGTGCAAAAACCAAAACCAAACCACCCTCGTCAAACTCTAGTTAACATGCCTTACATAATGGAGTTATCAGTGGAGTAGCAAGTCTTTTACGTAATGGAAATATAAATAAGAAAGAATGTTTAACATAATATGCTAAAAATATTTTCATACTTAAATAACATACATAAAAAGGTGTGCTTGCTGTATTTTATATTATCTTGCAAATCTTTTTTTTTTCCCTCTTGAAATGCTGAAAATCTTGCCATTTGAACTAGTAAACAATCACTTTAGTGTTAGAATTTATTTTTTTTTTGTACAAGATGTCATATTATGTTCATGCCCATCAAACTTTTGAGGACCAATATCCCAGTCCAACTAAATAGTTACCCCTGAGCTATCTGTTAGAAAGACACTTGGAAATACTTAAGTGCAAATTTATGTGTGTGTGAGAAACAATTTTCTTCATCTCAGATGAAGTTTTAAAGCACTTTGTAGTTCTCTATTGCCAACAGATTTAATGTTTTATGTGTTGCCAATTCTTGCAACTACTGTACGAGCATGTGCCTGTGGTTGCAAATAAAAATTAAAAATTCTACGCATGGTTTAAGGAGGTCCGTTATTTGTGCTAAGGGAGTTTCTAATGCCTCTCCCTCGTGTTCTTTGTATTTTGAGATTTTTCTTTGTGCTTTTTTTTTGTTTTTTTTGCTTCTCCTTGTAGGTCACTGCATTCCATTTGGAAGTGTCTGTTTAGCTTTACGTTTAATTTTGCTGAAATATGACATATGAGCCTTACTGAAGATTAAGTGCTTCTTGCAGCAGGTGGTCAGAGACTGACTCAAACCAAAAGCCACCCCGAGAGCGCTTTGTGTCTGGACCATACCCGAGCGGTTGCTGCTCGCCACCCTGCCTTGAGCACTCTTTTCCCACAAGTGCTATTCTTGGAGCTGAGGTGGGCACCCCAGCCCGAAACACCTCGTACTCCATGAGGGTTAGGGAGGAACTCACTGTTGTAAACAAACACAGCAATCGCCTTTGCTTAGCTCCTGGTCTTTTATGTGCAAAAGAAAGCTCAACTACAGGAGGAATGAGCTTGCCCTGTATTTTTTTTTTTCCCCCAAAGCTTTACAGGAAAACTTGGTAAAAGATAATTACCTATTCTCAAGAGGAGTAAAAGTCTCGTTAAAACACTTAGGCATCATCCTAATGAAGCAGTGTTTAGAACACCCAAACTGAAATACAACATCCCTTTTTTCAAACCTTCGAGAGGTGCCCGTATCATAGGGCGCTGCCAGCCAGGTTTAAAGGCTGATCCAGACATGCGCGTGAGCGGTGCACACCAGCCCCAGGTGGCCGCTCCCCCCCTTCCCCAATTTTGGCAATAGATCTGGCCAACAAACGTGTTTTTGGCTCTGCTCCTAGTGCAAGAAACTACAGGCTGGGTAAGTTCGTTCAACAGCTAAACAGTCGTAAAACGTCATTGTTGCATGTAAATTCCTTTCAACTATAAAAATGAAATTCCAGTTTCTATTTACCTATTCATTGTGACAGTATTATTAAACAGGTAAAGATGGGACTATTTTGTTATACTGTGTATAGTGAATGTATTGTACCGTGTCTGTGAAAAGTGTGCTTTAAATTATATTTTCATATGTTTTGTTGGGGACAAAGTACTTTAAGTTTGAAAGCGACAGAGGTTTGTTTTAGAACTGAAGGCAACTTAAAGAATTCCTGTCAAGAAAGCTGCTTATAAATGTAAATCGAATCACATTTAAAATAAACTGCCTCTGACTTAAGGAGACTGCTCTGTGCCTGTTCCTAACTTCTTGAAGAGTTAACTTCTTGGGCTGTATGTACACTTTTATTTGTGTATTTTACTTTTGTATCATCAAACCCTGTAGTCAAAAAAAAAAACCAAACAAAACTTGAAGCAACTTAAGCACTACACCCTTAATGCACAAAATTACACAGTGTGGAGGAACAAAAATGGAGCATTTTGATGTAATCAGTCAAAAGAACTTGAGGGGGCAGGGACTCTTTCTTTCCAACATGGCAGCAGGGCTCAGGTGACCAGATAAAATTGGTACTGATGCCACAGCAGCCCTTTTTATGGTGGGCTGTGGGTTACCGTTCTTCTGAAGGCTTTCGGCAATGAAGTGGCGATTGCTCTGAACGGAGAAATCATTGAAATTTTAATTGGGTGAGGGTTTGGGATCAGTATTTGATGCAAACGCTGTCATAGTTCCCTGTATATACACACATCTAAGAGAAGCCTCTGCTTTGGCACCGTCGGGGTTTGAGGTTCTCCTGCCTGTGCAGGACACCAACCTCAGTTGTTTTTTTTTGTTTGTTTGTTTTTTAAGTCTTTAACATGATAACTAAAAATATTTTGGTTTTATAGCCTGTTCTGTTTTCACATGCTGTTGAATTACAGTAAGAAAACAAATTGACAAAATAGTATTTCTGTGCTTCCCTCAGCCCATCTCTTGACATGAAATTCACTGCTAAAAAAAAAAATAAAAATCTAAGACTTAGAACACAGAGGACTGAGGGAGTAACTGCTACCCAAGACACTGCAATTTATCTGTGTCATGCAGCTTTTAATAAATCCCACACTGAACAGGATATTGCACATGTTCACAAGAGAACTGCAGGCAAGAGAAGCTACTGAAAACCTGAATCCCTGAGTCTCTCTCAAATAAAGAGCATAAATAGACATGAGCAACAGTTTGTGTCATACAGAGCTGAAACATTTTCTGCAAGTATGTAACGCCTGAACTCTGGTTTATTTCAAAATGAGCGGCAGGAAAAAAAGGACCACTGACTCCATGAATAATTTTGCTTTTAATGTAACAAGACTACTGTACAACAAGTGGAAAGCAAATATACTTAATACAGTTAAAGTAAATATAAAATGTTTAGATATACACACATGTTTTTACTTACCGGAAAGAAATACATAAAGTTAAAATGCAGAAGGTTTTAAAAGCCCGAAGCCAAAAGGAACACAATTCACTGTTGTGAAAATAGAATGATATTTTCTACTGAATGCAACTGCAACATAACAGCAATGATTTTTCTGAACAATTACTTTTAGGCATTTAAGCACAGCAGTTTCATTCAACTCCAAAATACTGCCTTAAGGTATAACGTACTTAATTTAACATTATCCCTTACGGCAAACATTCTATATGTAAAACTGAAGTGTTTGCCATTACTTTTGTTGCAAGCATGTAATCTCACAGTACATGCAGCTACATTTCAGAAGTGTACTAGAAAACTATATTTTTGTAGGGTAAGTTATGTAACTTTTTGATTTAACTGTTACTCAAAGAAAAACTACATACATTTGCTAGGAGAAACATCTGGTTATTACATTTTTAATCACGCCTCAGGTGTCATGGGCAAGAGAAACCCCAGGGGGTTTGGTGGCTTTTGTGAAGCAGCTGAAGAGCATCATGAAACTGGTCTCTCTTTTTCTGAGGCTAAGTCATTCCCATGTCCTTACAAATTCCACTGAGTAGAGGAATAAATAGCTACACACACAACAAGGTGGGGTGTTGTGGGGGAGTTTAGTATAATGTTGGAAGATAACCCAATAGCAGCTTACAGCCACAATTCATCATGGCTCCCATGAGAGTACATCAGCTTTCAGGCAGAAGTTTGCGCTGTTACAGAAAAGCTGCGCTGTTTTTGTTCCGTAGGTGGACTACTCAAAGTTAGGGTTGTTTGTTTTTTTTTAAGCTACACTGCAAACAAAGTGATTTTAATCAAAATTTAATACGTTCTGATCAAAGTGCGTCTGAACGTGCCTCTCAAACCCTTGCTGATCGTAGTCAGGCGGAAACTGCTCACTGCACATGGGGCACACCTTCCAGTGGCTCTCCACGTGCTCCTCAAACTTGCTCTGGTCATAGTTAGGTGGAAACATCACATCGCAGAGAGGGCACTTCTTGTGCACATCGAAGCTTCACAAGGAGGTGGAGAGAGAGAAGGAAAGAAGGAAACAGTTACTTGATCTGTTACTGCAAAATAAAATACAAAAGTAGGATCCTGTTGCCACCGAGGTTAAGAGCTTTACTACAAGCTTAAATTTGAGCAGACTCTGTGTCTAAGGAAGTACCACACGGTTAAATGTCTTTGCTGAAAGTGCTCGGTACAGTTAAAGTAGTTTTACCAAGGAATTCTAAACTAACCTGGCATTCTAAAAGCGACATAATTTTGACATAATTCCAGCTACCACTGAATACAAATCTATTCTATGTCTTAATGGCCAAGCAGTTTCATGGGAAACCACTCTCTCTGCTCATAAATGCTTGCTCTTAGCAAACATAACACTTTATAAAAGCTCTAAACTTAGGTTCACAATTAGGTTGGAAAGAGGGGGGGGGAAAAACAAAAGTTACTCATTCATTTACCAAAAAAAAAAATTGTCCAAATGCCATCAAAATAAAGTACAGCACAAATAGTCTACCCAGTCTCACAGCATATTCTCTGCTAGCTAACTGTAAACCATTCATTCATTGAAAATGCTTAATCGTTTTTCATCTCCACCCGTGCCTTGAGTAAAAAAGTCCAGTTATATAGAAACCTACCCATGCCCTTAAGGACCAGTAAAAGATAACATTTACCTGGAATCAAAGCAGAAACCTGTTCCACGTTCGTGCAAGAGAAGACTTGGAGGATCAGGAGCAGAAGGTACAGTGTTGTCATCGTCCTATTAAAAAAAAAAAAAAAAAAAGGAAGTATTTTAAATAATACCCACTAGAAGCAGCTTTTTTTTTTCCCCCCCTCCTCCAAATGCATTTTTTGTTATCAAGCATAAATGTGGAGGGAATTTACCTTTCACTTTATAATCTCTGCAGCGTAAGTTCTACTCTAGTGTGCAAAAGGCAGACGTGGTTAAAGAACACGGGAAGCTAAGCACAGGCTGCCTTTGGGCCGCGGACCTAGAGCAGAAATCTGTGCTCACACCGCGAGAACGCTCTTGCTAACGCAGCGGGTAAGGAAATGCTGGTCAACTGGCTGTTAATGCCTGGGGGCTAAACCAGAACAGAAAAACCTGTGTCAAACTGAATGCGGGGCATCACACTACAAACCATCAGAGCATTTTATCGAGAGCTAAAACTCAAAAATAAATTCTAGACAATTGAACGTCAAGTCAGACTTTTTAAATCTGTCAATCTAAATTTCAACATGGGAAAAAGAGACATTGATTTCAATTCCCAGCATCTGCCTCCCGACGGTCAGTTTTGAGTGATCTGCCCAGGCTGCTCTCACCAGCCAAGCATGTCCCACTGCCGTCAGGCACATCAGCTAAATTGCCCTGTTGGGCCTGCTTCCTCTCCTCGGCTCTGTCAGCCGGGCTCTCCCTTCCCCGACATTAACAGCACATAAATAGCTGCAGCAGGCACTGATGAGGATCCCTCTGCTGATGGACAAGCAGGTTTTGCCTCAGAGCTTCTGTCAGGTTAGGAAGGCAGGTCCCCTGGGGAATACGCTGCTCCTCACAAAGAAGAAAAACCCGCCTGCACCGGGAAATTCTCGAGCAGAAAAATGAAGAATTCCTACAGTGAGTGGATTCTGAGAGCTCTCTTCTGACAAGCAAGGGGTCAGAGCACTTAGGCTTTGCAGGTTTGGGGTTTTTTGGTTTTTTTTTTTCAATCCGTGATGGCATTATTACAAATTAAGATTTAAATAAGCACAGTGATATAAGCAAACACAACTAGGGGAAGAAAACCACACAAAAGGAAAATAAATTGAAGGAAGAGGAAGAAAATCAGAACTGGGTTTGTAACCCCGTTCTTTATGCACTATCCAACTATTCATTATATAGCATCTTGGTTCTGTTCTGCAATTAGTGCAGCACAAAATCTACTCATTTCAAGGTGGGAATACAGGTAAATTCAGCAAGATTTTTGAAACCCCAACACCTAAATCATTTTCCTTCTCATCTCAAAGACACCTTACATGCAAGAATTATGAATTATTTAGCTGATCTTCAAAAATGGATGTGCAAGGGACCATCTACAACAGCCTACGTGCCATACCCTTTATACAGATAACTATACGTATATCCATGCCTATTTCATTTTTAGGCTAACATACTTTGTCCTCATGAAGAGTTAATGGAAACAGGGCAGGATGGGAAGATTCCCTCAATATTTTTCTTCTCCTGACAACAGCTGTTTAGTTTCAACCACTTAACGTTTCCATTAAGCAGCTAGTGGGGCTTGCTGTGACAGGTGCTAGCAGCAGACATGTTTTGCTGTCTAACTTGCTTGCTTTGCACCTGCAGTAAAAAGGGCATATGGGTTTTAAAATATTATCTGTTCCTTTTGTCATGAAAGAGGTAGGATGTATATATTAAAGAAGAAAAACTATTTCAAGTACTCTTGTGCTACAACACTACAGCTTATATAGTGCCAAAAACGCAGCAAATTTGCTCAATACCAGACTCTAAGCAGAGCAGGACTTACCTGAAAAAGTGATTGTGCATCTTCCTTCAAAAAACAGTTCCACTACAAACACAGGCCTAATTAACATTTAAATCCTTCAGAAAAGGCTTTCTTACAATTTACTGTTTGTCACTCAGTTACTTCTCCAGCACTGGGCATTTTTTCACAGCACTGATTAATACTTGGTTACAAGTGACGAAGTGGATGAGGTGCCTCAACTTCCTTAACTAAGTTTTGTTTGGGACAGATTAGCAGGCCTGATGAAAAATGCATAGGTCATCCATTATATTAAGGGTTATTAGTGTTAGTTGAGTAAGGAGTCAGGATTTACTAATGCTAAATATTAGCTTGACATATAGGGGCATTAACCTACATTAGGTGGCTGACATGATACAGATGGGTGTCTCTTCCCATTGAAAATTATGACTGCATTCAGCAAACCCCCAGTTCTAGAATGGGTCTTTCCTGGACCTGAAAGAAACCACTGAGCTGGATGCCCAACTGTAACAGAACACAGAACTAATCACCCCTGAAGTAATCCATCTTCCAGACAGATGTTGAATACCACAGAAATTTTAGTTTCCCTATCAGAAAAGGAAACCTCTCAGCCTTCATGCACACATTACACGAAGATTAGAACCTACTGAGTGACAACTGAAATATGTTCATGAAACACGTTATTCAAGCAGAAGTGATCTTACCAATGCCCTCCGTCTATTTCTATTAGCTATGTCAGCAGAAGTAGACTGCTTTAGCATCAGCTTACCCACAGGCGTATTTCTGCTCTACCACCACAGTCCGTGGGAAACCCAAGATTTTAATTAGACTCAACAAAATGCAAACTGATTTATATAAAGGCTTGCCATTTTAAAAAAATATCAGCGCTGCCTGTCCACCTTACATAAAGCTTTAATAGGTTAATAGGTTGGGTGGGGTTTTTAGTTTGCTTTGGATGGGCTTTTCACATTATTTACTCTAGTTATTTGTTTGTTCAGTATTCCTCCCCTCCTCCCTTTTTTTAAAAAAAAAAAAAAACAAAAAACACCACCACATTTGGGATACTGTTAGTCATTTGGTAAGATAAAATTGTTTACATCTCTTGTTCTTTCTTTCACCTTCTAGCAGCCTGATACCCTGCCATGTACAAACATAATGTTCCTCCTCGTTCCTTTTTGAAAAACTGATTTGAAAAAAAAGGTACAAAGCTTTCCCCAACATGGGCACACATGCACTCTCCTGCATCGCTGCGTTGTACGCACTGGTTTCAACAAAAGGCAAGTACAAGTTGTTAACAGTTTTTTAAAAAAAAAAAAAAAAAGGCTTTGCTCATGTCAAAGTAACATTGTTTGCTATGTCCTAAGGATAAAGCCTTCTCATGATCCAGTTCAATTAATTTTAAAAATCACACTGTGTGTTCCTTACTGTAGCTTCTGACCCGTGCACCATATATGAATGGCAATACTAAGTATGTACTGATATTACACTGTTAAGATATGAAAAGTCTGTCTCTCCAGTGTACTTTTGCTCTTGGCCAAGTTCAAAAAGAAAGATCCGTTCTTAACCTTTTGTTATGTTTAACCCAAACAAGAAGAATGCAAACCTATATTGAGCATACCTCAATGTGCACATTGCAGAGATTACTGTATAATCAAAGACTGGTCAAACAGTAAAAATGAGAACGTTTTTTAGCCTGAGAGTATTTCACAGCTATTCTAATTACAAGTTACACTAAACAGTATACAATCACCACTAACTAGTCTCATGCACTGCCCTGGGGTAACTTGGAACTTCTGGAAAACACAGAAAATGTCCCATCGTATTGGACCCGACAGCTGTCTATTCCTGTCATTGCAGATGTACAAAACTCCTGCAGTGTACCGTGTAAAACAGAGAACTATATGAAGGGAGGACAGCTCTTACCCATCTTGGTTCACAATCCCTTAGTGCCCAGTTTCTGACAGCTAATATAACCAATAATACATTCTTTATTCTTATAAGAGTGATATTACATACGCTTTTCAACCTGTCATTTAAAAACCGGTCACTCTCCCATGGTAAAACAAACCATCCCCTGAAGACTCATAGGGAGAAGGCCAGTTCAAGCGGCTTTGCAGAAGGAGTTTGACAATAATTGCCAGGAGGCCGGGCTTCAATGGCTCGGCCCGTGCTGATATTTTAAGCTTAGGCACCAGCTCACTCTCAAGACCCCAGGGTCAAGTCGCCCAAGTTATTTGGACAGAAGCCCATACTCCATATTTTGAGAGAGAGACAGTTTAATCTGCCCTTTGTGTAGAGCCAGCTTCCTTGCACTCCAGACTGAAGACCGGGGATATGGCTGCTTGCTCTTAGTCCAAGACCTCTACAGTACCCCACAATGATGTAATACAGTCGATATGAGGCCTCAGGTCCTTACGAAAAGAGTCTGATATCAGGTACTGACAGGCTGGAACCATGGTTAGTAAGCGTAAGAAATAACAGGCCTTCTGAATTCAGAATTTTGGATAATTCGGTTAATGAATTATGAAGGATGCCTTTAACATCATGACTTAACTATCAGCACTGGTCTGTAACTCTGACTCTCAAATTGCCACAGTGAGTTCCACAGATTATATGAATCAAAGATTAACAATAATAACACACAATAAAGCATGGTAAAAAAAGAGAGGGTTTGCCACTAGAGGAGGAAGAAGGGAAAACTGGACCTTAACTGTCAGAGATAAGCACAACTCACCTAGTTTTACCAAAACTAGCCAATTTTTTCTCAAGTACTGCTTTCATGATTACGGTTGTAATCAGTTCCAAGACTGCCAAACAGAAATTAGAAACAAAGCCGTGCAACACTGTACAAAAACCACAGACTTGAACAATCCCTGTCTCCAATTTCTACAGCTCATTTTACCATGCAACAATGGGGAAAGCAATACCCATCTCAAGCTTTAAACAATAAATGACCAACCACACCGCTAACGTATAGTGCGAGTAATCTGGAAAGACGAATACATACATTTTCTGTTGGTGACTCAGCTCTGCTGTGTGAGTGAAATCAAACAAACTCTTTTAGGTGTCTCTACCTCTCTGCAAGCAGTCTGGTCCTCCAAGAGGTACCCAGACACCAACTGCTCCTTTTATGTCGATCCTACAGAAAGGACAGTAATTGGCTGCCAGGGTAAGATCAGGCTAATGAAGTGTGGTGGTGTTAGGGGTTTTTCTTCCTAGAAGAAAGACCATTTTGGATTCATCTCAAAAAAATAGCCTGACCCGGCTGTCAGTTGCCAAAAGTTACACCCTCCCACCCCCCACAAATTTACTGTGACTAACAACATTGTTTAAGAGTCTCAGGATAGTTACTCTGGGCTTATTGCCAACTATAATCAGGACTACATTTCTAAAACTCACACTTTACTATTAAAAACATAAATATGTTTTGTTTATGGATCTCTCCCATACATACCTGCTTCTAGAAATTATTTGCTCCAAATGATTACATTTTGGTCAATTATGGGAGCATGAGTAGTGCTGAGTAGAAGATGGCAAGAATTGGTGGCAAGTCAACTATTCTACACAAAATCACCGTGTGCGTGCTCACCTGGCATGATTAACACAGACCAGCTTAGCCCTCTCAGAAATCACAGTTTAATTGGCCAAAGTTCCAAAAGCCAAAGCTATGAAGAATTCCACAAAATCTTCGAGTTATACAAAACGGATGTTTTTCATGTCAGCCAAATACATGGAAGTGCCCGTTCCCAAGGAACAAAGTTTTGGGAGAAACAAAATTGGAACACAATAGGAACATTAAAGAAAAATTCTGATGCATTTGGAGATGTATCCTTACTTGACCTACAACTCAGAGTAACTGAAGACAGTAAAGGCAGCATAAGTTTCAGCATAGCAGGAGTGTCACCGTCACCTGATCTTATACTGCTACTCAAGATAATGGTCAGTAACAAAAATGTCTTCACTGCAAAGTAGAAAGGGAAGCCTACTACACTCAGGTAGGAGCAAACAGCATTCTCCTTAGGAATGTGGAAACTAAGTTCAGGTCACATTAGGAGCAAATGCTGCAGCAGAAGGATCATCTCGATCATGAGCTTGAGAATTTTGTAACTTACCAGTAGGAAAGACAAAAGTACTTTGTAGAGGAATACAAAGATAGCAGCTGTACTCCACGGAACTGAAGATCAAATCATTAGTTGCAAGAACAGAAGCATCCCCATGAAAATAATTCATGCACAACTTTAGCATGAAAATAATCCTCTTGAAGTGAGCATAGGGTGCCTGAGATGTCTTTCCTTCCATGAATGGGAATGGTACGTACCCTAGTACCCATCCAGTACTGTACGGCTATGCAAAAATCCCGCCTCACTAGGCCAAAGGTGCTCATAAGGAGCGTACAGAACTTCTGACAGTGGAATGAGAAACCAGCAGCAGGTGAACAGAGACCACACTGGCACCCTTCTTCCCCATCGCCAGCCAAAAGGATAGTAACTATCTTGTGCCATACCTCTAATCTGTTAATATAATCAAAAGACTCATTCTTTCCTCCTTGGGATAGGTAGAGGGATCAACCAAAGCTGTCTCACTGAGATTATTAAGAGGTGTATTGCTTAAAAGTACACATGATGACAGCCACGTCAGCTCTACAGGCTGATAGTTCTTTATCAGGAAGGGAAATGGAGAAGCACTTATCTGTTAATGTAGGAAACTATGCTTGATCCATAATAGTAAGCAATTTACAATTCTAAGGACACAGAATAGAAACGTATTTTATTTCTTCATATATTACAGACAAGGGACCATGAGTTAAATCTTTTTCAGCAAAAGACAGAAAGCATATAAATGGATCATTACCCACGAATGCAAGATTCCTTTAAGCAAAAGTAAACCTCAAACGCACCTCAAACAAGTCTGTTACAAGACTGATGAAGAAAAAGCTTGCATTAAAAAACAAACAAAACAAACAAAAACACCATACAAAGACTTTTCAAAAACAAGGAGACACATGGGATTCCTGTACAGAAGGTTTGCCTCAGTTCAGACAGGTCCAAGATAATTCACTAAAGAGGACAATTCCAGTTCAAGTAAAAGAATCAAGTTTTACTACAAAAAAGAGAACTAAGGAGTTCTGATTTTCTCTGGATTTGTCTTGCATTCTCCCTAACACTTCTCCTCCTACATAATCTCATGTTCTCTTCCTGTTTAGTTCGATTAGTGACCAGTTTGCAGCCATACTCAGGCTGATTTGCCAGCTGGCGGCTGGCTGTTAGAACAAGAATTGATTAAGGGGTGTCTCTTCTCCCAAGAGACTGTAAAAAAAATCTGTAGGAAGTCAGTATCGAACACCTCTACCGCATGCACAGGAATGTAAACAGAAACTACCACACGTAAGTTTGACTTCCTAGACCCCCTCATAGTTTGCTGACCTATTCCTTAGGCTAGGTGAATGTCCTAAAGGAAAGGAGGTCCCATTTCTGGCTTTCATTCTGTAGAACCAAGTCACAAAGCCTTTCTCACACATGCATGCACACACTTCCCTACTCTCACCTTACAGACTGAGAAAAGCCTATTTTAGTCATATCTGAAAAGTCTGTTTAAAGCTGTGTGTATACAACATCTACCTCCTTCTCCTGCGTATCATAATATTGGCCCAGGGTCTCAAAGATGTGTCATCTTAGATACATGATGATGATCACGCCTACATTATAGGTAAACCACCACCAAACATCCATGAAGTGGTGGAAGTGGCTGCAGCACCTTCAAGTTCTTAAACTAATATAACGTGTAGTAATAGGAAAGTGGAGAGGAAGACAACAGACGGTAATACTTTAAACAAAGCAGCAAGACTACCAATCCTGGGTCTTCTGGGAGGGAATCCTCCTCTAACAAAAGGCTTTACATCTTACTGGTTTAAAAATGCACAGAATTACATCTTAAATAGCCTATTTTAAAAAACAGTAGAACAAATGGCAACCTCTTCATATTTATCATTTTATATTTGCTGTTTCTTCTGCACAAACGACAGGCTCTCCTTGATAATGAATTGCCTACATGTATGGACATTTTATTTCTTTAAATACTGCATTAGAACTGTTTTATCTTTGGCATACTACTAAGTCTTTCTAGAAAGATTCTTGCAACTACTCATTTCCATATAAATTTGTACACTCCACACACAGTTTATTTTTTGAAGGAGCAAGCAACTGATTCTCATTTGAATGTGTAAAAAAAAAAAAAAAAAGATAAGTTATTTGATTTAAAGGCACCTTTTCTCAAGTTGAACTTTATTTAAGTCTCTTATATTCCATCTCATTACAAAAATCCAAGCTGTGTCAGCAAATGAGCACAAGACTCTAGCACTGTTTCTCTTGGGTTTGCAAGAGGGCAAAGCACATAGATCAGAAAGAACACCCTGCTAATTAAATGGAAGCAGATGACTAAAGAAGAGAAGAGCTTGTCACATGTAATATCTACGTCAAGAATGATCAGATTAAGTATGCAAAAAGTGAAGTAAAGGTGGGCAACAGCATTAAGCTCACATTCTAGATCTTGAACAGGCTGCAAAAGTTCTGACAGTTTCTCTAATTATTCACAGTAATGGACACTGGGGGCAAAAGGTAGGAGGGAGAAATACATTTTTCGCCATTATAGGTGCTGAGCACCAGGGCTAAAATCATGCCTGTCTGAACACTGATCAGTTTCTGCAAAGGTTAATAGCAATTAAATGTGGCAAACTATACTAAATGAGAAACAGGTCATGATACCACTGTACTTGCAAAGAGCACAACACTTTGCAGAAAGGTATTTCTTGTTTAATATTTTTGAAGGTGCAAGAGTACTTAGAATAAGAAAGAGTAATAAGTCTGTTCCTGTTCAGATGAAGACATACAGTCCAGTTTGTTACAGAAGCCAATTTACTAAAACCATTTTTTATACCACAGCATGCAAGTTAACTGTACTAAAAAGAAAAGCTAACCAGTTTCCCCTTAAAACATGCAAAGCCCTTAAAAAAAAAAAAATAAAATAATCGGTGAGAATCTGCAACTTTCAGTCTAATCAGCTTTAGGT